ACATCTAATCTCAAAGGTTTCCCCTTTTCGCGTGCGGAATTCCATGAGAATGAGAAATCAAACCAAATCTAAATTGGTAGAAAAAATTTGTACATTCTGCTCATTAAAAGAGCTAAGTTGTGTTTGAAATAGAAATATATCTTCAGGAAGATCATTTCTAAATAAATATCAGTATCTTAAAAACATTAATACAATACAAAAAAAAGACTTCTTCATACATTCTGAATTTTTTTTTCTACCAACTCACATTTAATGGGAGAATTTATTTGTGTGTATTTAAAAAATAAGCTATGGTATATGTAAAACGAAAACCCATTAAAGAAGTTATTTTCTAAATAAATATCTACATGTTAACAGACCTGGTGCGACATAATTCTTAACTTATAATTTTGTATCTACCTTCTTAAAATGTTGCTTGCCAAATTGAAGACGCGTGGGCAATAAACAAAAAAACAAAAAATCAATAAGTGCACTCGTATGGAAATTACATTTTTTTCCGCATTTACACTTAAGCTTGTTGCTGTCATAATATTTTATTTTATCTTGAGCGAAACCCCTTCGCTGACTAACTTTTTGCAAATGAATATGGGATTTAAGTGTTGTCATTCATTCACTTATTGTTTCCTCCTTTCGACCATCGAAATCTTCTTGAATATTACAAAGTGGGCGTGTCGCAGTGCTGTAATTTATTAAGAGTTTTTTTCTCACTCTGTTTAATTGCCGCTCAGATGATTTAGTGTCTCTACTTTCTGTCTTTCCTCTTGCAGTCTTTTCTTATGACTTTCACCTCGCCAAAGTGAAATTACGGCCTAATGACTAAACATTTCTTTTAATTAGAAGATTCATCGCGCAGATGAAACCGAAACAATAACAAAAGGGCGGAACGAGAAAAGTTTTTTGAACTCTGTGAATCTGTAATCTTTAATCTTAGCTCATTACAAAAATTTGGCAGTCAAAGTAAATGATCTGACACCTGAAAGCCCAAAGAGGATTAAAGCAGTTTAACTTTGATTTTGATGGATGTGAAGATTTCCTGGAAGCACATTTTTTTTGTGTAAACCAAAAGTGTCTACCAAAATTTCTTAAACGTGTAGCTTAACAAAAACCTCGTTTTTAGCAAACCCCTGCCGTTATTTTGACATTTTTGGAAGGTTTTTGTCGAACCCTTTTCGGGGTTCGCTGACTCAACTGGAACCTGCAACGTTGCAACATTGCAGCGAATTAATTTATCAACATTTACCGCTACAGTGTCAACGCCAGGAGAGAGAAGCTTGTAGCATTAAAAGGCCATAAATTTGTCGGCCAGTTTGCCTGGCTCTGGACCATCCATCCGACTTCCAAGAAGCTGGCAACTCGATATAACGAAAGCAAAGCCAACGCCAAACGTTCCTCAATACCCACAATTTCTGGCGAGGAAAACCTCTGAAGCACCGAGAGACCAAAGTTTGATTTATGCGTTGCGATGCTCAATGGGCGATACGAAGCCAAGGAAGTAACCGCAGTCAAATTTCCAGGCCCAAACGGCACGACTACCAAATGCGCTCTGCCTGGCGGTTAAATGCAGCCAAACATAAATTATGGGCCATGGCTAAGTAGGAAAACTGTTTGGCCCAGCGCGGCACAGTGGAAAGGCCAGATAAGTTAGAGACAAAATAGATCTGGCCCGAGTGTTTCATCCCTAAAGTGAGTCACAAATATTCAAGTTCTCACAAACATTCAACTTTGGAATATGTGTAGAGCATTTTTAAATCACGATAAGCTTGTTTTCCTTTTAAAGGTTTAAATTACTTTATTTAGTTTAAAGTGAGTAAAGTAACACATTTATATTTAACTTGATATGTACGCTTAAATCAAATGATTTATGAAAACCAGCGACTTGGGGTATTAGTTTTGTTTTTTATAATTTAAAAGTGAATTAGATGATTAAATTTCTTACTATTCGTAATTTGGTGCAGGATTTCTGCTATTCTTATTCTTACTTAAGAAAATCAAAATGAAATAGTTCAATAAACTAAGCACAAGTAAAACATGCAATAGACCCTTAAAAACTTGACTTCGAGTGCACTTTCATACAATAAAAACTAACTAACTAATTTTAAATCAAGATCTTCAGTTTCTCAACTGTCCCACGGTACCTTGCATTTCCCAGCAGCTTTTCTGGCAGCACTTTTCGCATTTCCCTGCCGCCTCTACTACTTTCATAATGTTGGCAAACATTTAACGAAAGTCCATAAACACAATACACATGCCCAGGAACTTGAGCGGCCATATAATGCAAAATTTCCCTGCACTGCGGATGTTGGGGCTCTTGAGCTGTTGTTTCCCCGCTTCGATTCGATCCCGAGTCGAAGTCGTCGGATACATGTTGCCGCCGTCAATGTTTCGCCTTTGTCTCGTAAATTTTAACATTTTTATTATAAAATCAAGCAGCCCAGCACGGCTGCTGATTTCTCACACAATGCGCGCGATTTATTTTGTATGCATTGCGAGGCTGAAATTGATTAATTACAAAGCGGAAGAGTTGCCGATCCCGTCGGCTTGAGACCAACATTTTGTTACGATTATTCATTCAAAGGTTCATTTTTCAGGCTTAATTTTCTGTGTTATTTCGATTTTGTTTTTATTACAACAAGCTAAAATCAAGCATTGTAGTTAGCTTCGTGATTGGCTAAAACCACGATTCTTTGATTGTTTTCGATCTATTTATTGTTATTCTGAAGGTTTCTGCGTTATCTTAATGACACTGACACCCCTGACACTTGAAAATAGTGTAATGCAAATGTGTGAATCAATAATAATAATAAGTTTAAGCGCTTTGAAAATATATTTTATTGGCTATTACAGTGTAGTACATTTATTACTTAGACCGAATGACACAGACAAGAGTTGAACTTTTTGATTATTGTGAAATTTAAAAAGCAATTAAAGTTGCAATAAATATGTGGCATTGAAATACTAGTATGACAAGCATTTAATAAAAATAAAAATTAAACATTTGAGATGGCACCATTGCGGTAATAAAAGTATTTAATTTCTTTCACTGTGTACAGTTTAGAAAATTTGAGATTAATAGCAGCATATGTTCTTGAGACTATATACATATATGCAAACCTATATAATTACAAGATCTGGCGCCTACTGGCGCCTTTAAAGATTTCTCATGGAATGCAAAACGACAAACTAAAATCTCAAGTGACATTGGGGGGGCAGTTAAGTCAGTCGCACTTACACTTAATTGCTGTCAAGTGTTTTGCAAAGCCCTAAATTGGCATCTTATTCGTAAGAAAGGGGATGATAGGGGGTGACAGGGGGTTATCCAGTAAAATGTCAAAACAATTAATTCCAATCGACTCGCGCTAGATACAAATTTGTTTGGCTGTCGCTGTGGTGCCGCAAGAAGTTGAGACATAATACTTTTGATGTCACATGTGTGTTTGCTTTTTAATGATTCTGTGTGCTACTTAAATTTCACGGAATTTATGTTGTTTTTTGTTGCCGCTCTTTTAATGAGCTATTAAAATGTTTTGGGAATTGTAGTACATGTGTAAGAGCGCATTGCCATGAAGAACAACACTAAGCGGATTCTTGTAAAAGTTTTTATGAAGAGGATTTGTTTTACGGAAGATGCTGCCACATAATGAACATATAATGAGATCAGTTCTATCAATAAACTTTTAACTCCCATATTATTTTTTACGACAAAACTAATTTTGTATATTCCTCTTATTTCAGGTAAGTTTCGATTTGAACTGACATTTTTAGACGTAATACTTTGATAAACACATCTGTAAGTAAATTTGTTAACTAAATACGGCCAAGCAAAACCTAAAGGTAAAAAAAGCCATTAGATCATCAGTAGTGTTTTGTTGTTTTAAAAAGCACATCATACTACTTTAAAAACTTACTATCAGTTATGTGATCTCACTTGAATACAATTAAATGAAACCCCTTTGTTCTGTAGCATGAAAAATACGCTCAATTTATTAAGTTGTAAAACCTTATAGACTTACTTGACACAGTTCATTAGGCAGACTCGCCATATAAACGCTTCATTTGCCAAATCATTTAACATAATTAGCCGGCAAACACGATATGATCTCATAACCAGTTTCCTTGGCCGGCAAATCCTTTGGTTAATTGGCGAACTAAGAGAGAAACAAAGGAGTTCTACCTGTGGCATTCTAAATTCATATTTCAAACATCAATTCCGAGAAACCGAGTGTGGACACAATATTTCATAAACGTCTGGCAAAAGGTCTGGCGACCGAAACCAAAGATCACCTCAATCACACTTCCTTTTAACTGAAGTTTCGTTTTGTTTCTGCCTTATTTGCAATCAAACACAAAATGCACAAAGCATGGAAGAAGCTACTTTAACCTTCAAGTCGGGTTCGTTGGTATTACTTTTTTGACAATTTTCTGAAATGTATTTTTCGTTTCGTTGCGCAAATAAAACGACTACAACGCTGACAATGGCGACAACGGCTCGAGTTTGTATCTAAAATCAACAAGTTCACGACGACATCACAGGCACAGCCAAAACAGAGAAGATAAAAACTTTTAAGCGTCGGGCAAATACACAAAGATACCAACGAAACACCAAAACACCAAAACCACCAGCACCACTACAAATGCTTCCCATTCATTGCCAGACCTTTGCTTAGATGGCAAATAGAACCCCAGAAAAAAAACTCATACTGAACCTCTAAAAACCCATTTGAGTGACAAGTCAAAACAGATAATTCAATCGCTTACTCAATGCCTTTTTTGGGTGGCAATAATCAAATCGGTTTTATGATCAGTGCAGTAAATTTCCATTGTAACAATTACGTGAAATTTGTCAAAAAATGCCATCTTCAAGTCAGCAGATTTCCATTACAATCAAGTTTTGTTTAAAAAAATTCCTTAAAAAAATATTTATCTAATAGTTTGCCTTTACGAAACTTCCTAGGGTTGAAAAAAATAGATTCTTGATGTTTCAACAATAAATAAATGTCACGTGGATAAAGGCGTTTTAATTGATGATAAATGTCAAAACTATCCACTAGCGTTGATGGCTTTCCTTTAGATCAATCCCCTGGCTAAAAGGTCCTTATAGACGGACCTTTCGCGGTTCCTCAGCTCCTTCATGGTCCTGGCCAGTCGGGTTCCGATGCGAACGAGACTCTCGACCAACTGCTGATGCCGCAGGTTCAGTCTCTCCCTGAGGGAATCCACAGATCTGAACTCCTCATCGCCCATTTGCTCCTGCTCCAACTGCTCGTCCAGGTTGGTGATGCGGTGCAGCAGTTTATTCAGTCTCAACTGGACAACTTCGCGATCGAATTTCAGCTGCAACTCATCCAGTTTCTTCAGCTCCAGCCACTCCATTTCGGCGGGTGGTATAAGTTCGCCCAAAACTTCAATGCTCATGGTGAGAATCCCAGAGTTTTTCATTGTCGCTGCCATTTTTCTTTTTTTTTTTAATAGTTTTAGGTCACACAATAACAACAATTAATTTAGTAAGGAAAGAGCTTTTGATTTTATATTTCAAAAATTTTCTGAGTTCTGTAGAGCTAACTTTACGTATTCTATGAAACTGAATTTTAAGCAATAATCAGCTAAGAAACGCTTTCTCTCAGCCTCCTACTGCCTTTAAACTTTTGTTTTCTTACCAATTGAAACCAATACAAGCTTGGTATAAATATCTTTTTAAGAAATTGAACTCCAATGACGGAATTTGGCTGTACAGTGAGTAATGGCATTGGAAATCGATAGCCAGTGAATTGAATATCGCACATTTTATTGCAATTCAATACTTTTGTAATGGATAGCATTCGAATACTTTTGCCTTCGAATTACAGCCTACAAAGTTAACCACAATTCATGTCAGCTAAGGGGTTTTACTTTCAAGCATTTTGTTTTGAGGTTTCTTTAGGCTATTTTTGATTTCTGATATTTATTCGGTTTGCAAATTCAATTTCAAGAACAAGATATACAAAAAAAGTGGTCCAATCCATGATTTCGCTTAAAGATCTTCTCAAATCTCAAGAAATTATTTTGAAATATTTGAATCCTTCCTAGCCTTGGCTTCCTGCAGTATCAGCGACTCTATTTTCTTAATGTTCTCCTCGATCTTCTGCCTCTGAAGCTGCTCTTCGTTGCTCAGCTCCTTGGCATTTGGTTCCTGTTTGCCCAAACTTTTTTCCTTGTCCTCCGATTGACTATCTCCTTGAGTGCGCCTGCCCATGGGCAATCGGGTGACCATATGGCGAGGAATGCGTATCTCCGCTCCAATGCGATTATCGTTTTTGTACTGGCCAACGGCCCGGATGAATGGCTTCAATGGACATCCCTTAGCATTGGCCTCGTCCATGAGCTGATGGGCGTATTCGAAGAAGAAGGCATCTTCGCGCAACTCCTCCAGTTGGGCCTCCCGATTGTAGTTGGTACCTGGTCTAGTTTCCTCCTCGATGCGTTTCTTCACCTGTTCATCGAGTTCTTGACGGAGTTTTGTAATGCGTTGCAGGTGCTCCTGTCGTTGCTGCTTTTTGAACTGTACATTGGTGAAATCGTTCTGAAGACGCAACTTGACTGCCTCCCGGCGATCCTCCTCCGCTTTCAGCCTGATCTTCCGGGCCAGCTCCTCCTCCGCTTTTTGTATGGCCAACCGGTCATTCTTGGCCTGCTCCTTGGCCTCCCTCTTCTTGGACTGCTCGGCACTGTGGACCTTTCGCATCTCCTCCAACTGGCGCTTGTGGCGCTCCTCATCCTCCCGCGCACTGTAGTGCAGACGAGGTGCCAGCTCCTTGGCCAGTTTCTCATTCCGCCGGATGCGCTGCTCCACTCGCTCCTTGGCCCTGTCCCTTTTGAGCTTCTCCAATTGTCCTTTGGCCTGGTTGTGGACATCGCACTGCACCTGTTCCACCTCCTCGAGCATTTGGAGGCGCTTCTGGCGCTGCTCGGCCATCACCAAGGAGGCCAGAGCCTCCTCCCTTTTCTGCCGCTTCTTGGAGGCCTGCTGCTCCTTCTCCTTGTCCCGCTGATCCTTTAACATGCGCTCGTTGAGCTCACGCTCTTGCAGGGCTTCCTTCAATTCCTTGGCTTTGATGGCCTGAAGAAAGAGGGAAATGGGGTATATTTTCTATAAGTTACCTACAGTTTTAATATATAAAAATAAAAATATTTTGACTTAAACACAAATAAATAAATCAGTTCCGAAATTTTTGTTACAAAGTGAAAACATTTAAATTTACCAAGATTTTTCTCTGGGTGTAACATTAAAAATAATTAACAATTTCAAAACGCAAATGTTAAAAATATTTATTTTAATTTAAATCAAAAAATAAATGAGCTTTAAGAAAATAATTATTAGCATTTAATAATGAGTGGAATATGTTAAGCTTTATTGCTCTTTAGCTATTTCTGTTGCCATTTAGACGTGAGTAAATTTAAATTTATTGACTAGACCCAGAAAAAAAGATCATAAACGTGTTGGCACTAATATACTCGAAAGATGCATGATGAATGGATATGTATTTTCGTACACCCACCTGGCGTTCCCGCTCTCTATCGGCAATCAGCTGCAGAAGCTCTTTTTTGTACTCGCCCAGCTGCTGGCATTGCTCCTTGTGGCGCTGCTGGGCCTCCTCGAATCCACGGAGCACCTGCTCCTGGAAGATCTTTTTGTCCAGCTCCTCCTTTTGTTGACTGGCCTTGGCGAATTCCGCCTGCACCTGTCGCTGAACGTTGACACTGCGCAAGACCTCACTTTGTAAGCGGGCGCACTGAAGTTCCCGCGGACCAGGACGCAGTTGCTCAAGTAGTTTCTGGGCAGCCTCGATGCGCTCTCTTTTGGTTTTCTGGTGCTCCAGGCGCGAGGCCTTGGTCTCCTCCTCCGCCAGCCGTTTGGCCTCCAGGTGCTCCTCCTGCTGCTGTTTCAGTTCGCGGGCGCACTCCTCCTCCCGTGTGATGCACAGATTCCTTCCGGCAAACTTCCGTAGGAGCTCCTCGCCTCCGATCCGCAGCCTTTCATCCGCCTCGCTGCGCAGCTGCTGCTGATGCAGTTGCTCCTGTTTGGCTGCCTGGCTGGCATTCGCCCGGATCCTTTGGAATCTGCTGCTGGAGATGACCACTGGCGGTTTTTCCCGGAAAACGGGTTCACGTCGCTCTTGGGGCAGCCAACAATACTGCATGGTTGAGAGATGATTATTGACTGTTTAGGTTTTCATTCTTTTCGTTGAGGGGTTTCCATGGCTGTCGGTTTTGTTTGGTAGTCAGGGGAAGTAGTTATTTTGTAGCCTTGGAATCGAAAGGTAATTGCGGTTTCTAAACAGGAACATATTTAATATATTTTTTAAAATTCTGATTAGATTTAGATTTTAATTAATAAAATCGCCATTTATTTTTTGTAATTGAGAGCCGAATAATAAAATTAAAAATATCATGCCACCAGAAATATATTCAAAATCATGCAACTTTATAAAATTTCAACTTTATAAGCTACAAGCTTAAGAACCTACTCAAAAACCCTGACGATATGATCCAATTTAAAATATCTTTTCTTCTAATTTAACCATAAAAGCAAACGAATTATTTGGTAATGCTTGATTTTATCGCTTAATTCCGTTGAAATCATCCCAACCCATCATCCCACAAGTGTCGTAACCGAAATGCCAAAACAGAAATTGTCGAGTGTTGGCAACATTTTGAGTAGTTTATTTTAATTAATTAGTTTTGTGTGCAAAGTTCGCTGTGCGCACTGTTGTCCGACACAGCGACAAGTTACTGTCAACGCAAATGGCAAAGATTTTGGTTTGATGGCTTAATTATGTCCAAAAGTTATGTTGTGGCCATTTGGCATAGTCGGCGCAAGTGACAGGTTTTGTGATAAAAGTTGTTGATGCTTTTGGCAATTACATTTAGCCACAGTTTTCGTGGGGGCTATCCAAGCCGAACCGATCCAATCTGGTGTGGTTAGATATCTGGTTTGGGCTCGCTTCGAGTTTTCCTTTCAAATTGTCAACTCATTTCCCGAATGGCGAGCCAAACCCTAAAGGGCAAATCTATTTGGGCACGCTTCATTTGGCTCGTATCGGAGCATTGAAATCAAAGATTTTTTTCAAGAGGGTTCAAAATATATTTAATTAACACCTGGCTGTGAATCCGTACAAAAACACCGGCACAATGGCCCGTTTACAGACCTTAGGAATATTCATTTCAATTTTGAATTGGGTCAGTGCTCCGCTTTTGTCGCTCGTTGTTGGGGGTTTTTATATCTAACCAAGCCACACAAAATACACAAACCCATGACGGGCGATAAAGGGGCAGGCCCTACTATTTACACCATAATCCAGGTTATATACAAACATTATCGCAGCGCAAGTCACTTTAAGTTTTAAACTTTAAAGGTGTTACAATGCGGACAGTTTGCAGGGATAGAAAGTTCTTAGAAGTATGAAAGTTTAGTGGTCGTTAAGTTAAGACCTTGAGCTGTGGACTTTTTTACTTTAGAGCGTTATTTATATTTTGTTTAACTATCTAAAAAATCTATATAGAAAAGTTTTATAATGTTTTTTAAGATTTATCGCATTTTTGATTGAGAACTTTTTTAAAGTGCGTTACAATTTTAAATGTTACTTTTAAATGTTTGAAATAAAAACAAGTTGTACTAGAGGATTAGGTGAAACTTACGTAATTTGTACCAAAAGTCGTTTTTAAAAGTTGTATTTTAATTCTACAGTTCAGAATTTTGATGCTTAGGTTAAAAAATTCCAAAAATGATATATTTAAGCATAAATAAATTCATTATTTTTAAACTTTTTAAACAATGCCACCGAACTTTTATAATTTTTATTTTAATTCCACCATTTGACCCGGTTTTCAACCACTTAAGATCACTGTTAGTCATTTTCTCTAGCATTTAGAGCACTTCACAGTTTCCCAATGCTTATGACGTGAAGTGGTCTCTAACTTGCTCACTTACACCAACTGAACAGCGACACCAACAGCAACAACACCTCGTAGGAGAGACTGCGTCAAGTACCCGATTCTTATCTAATCGAAACTTATTGGCTCCCCATAGACTTTGCCTGATACCATGTTAATATACGACTGCCAGTGGTTCTACTTTGTCTTTGTGCTCGTAGAAGGAGCATATAGACAGTCAGCCGGACAGCCGAACAGCCAGAGACATCCAGACATATATCACTTGATCTTCAAGTGCGAATGACAGCTCGGAGTAGGAAAGACAAGAGACAAGAGACAAGAGACAAGAGACAAGAGACCAGAGACCACAAGCCTTTCGCCTGTCCACGACTACCGTCCAGTTCGTTGCTTCCACTTGAATGACTTCATGTGCCCCCGTCGGAAAACTTGAAAAACTTGTCTTTGTCTCCGCAGCCAGAGGCTGGGGCAAATGGCAGAGACGCAGAGGCGCAGAGACGCAGTCATACAGCCGCACTTACCTTACTTGCACTTGGGAACTGAAGAACTGGAGAATTTGAGATCTGGAGAACCCAAAGAACACAAGAACCACAACGGGAGATCAAGAGCAGCAAGAACAACGACTGGGCCAACAAATGAGTGCAACTGTTTTAGCCCGAACCTGCAGTCCAGTTTACACAAGCTACATACAGAAAAGAAATGAAATGAAAAGAAAACAGAACAATCCCCAGTGGCTTCTTCTTCTGAATCTCTCTGTATGTGTATCTGTATCTTCCGCCGATCTGCAAGTTTTTCCCCTCTTTTTTCTGGTGGTTAGAGCAATTAACATGCAATTAAGAGACGTTTCAATCTCAAGAGCCATGGCCAAGAGACATCGTAAACACTATAAGCGGTGCCGGGGTCCAACTTTTGATGAGCCGATCTGGCTTCTTACCAAGGTTCTAATTATAAAGTTCCAATCGTTGAGCAGCGTTTTCATAGAAAGTTTAGACAGGAAATTGATTGGATGTTTTATGCCAAAAGAATTACACACAGAAGCAGTGAACAATGTGTGTGTAATTTATAATTTATAGAAGTTTGCCCTGCGATCAGTCATCAATCAGGTATCCATTGAGTCAAGGCACACACCCTAATTTCCATCAAACATACATCTTTACAATGTTCCATAGTAAATTATCTACGAAATTCTCAAGTTCTATTTCTGGACATTATCATTTCGCCTTGTCATGTGCTTTTTTTTAAACAACTGATTTACAGTTTTGATAGGCATATTATATAAGAGAACATTGCCATTTCTTGTCTATGATCTTGAGAGCCAAGACCAGATCATAACGGAGTATTTATGCCCATGTTAAAAGGTGGGTCGGAATTGTGGTTTGATTTATTAACCTGTCGGTCAAACGATTTATAAGCAAAGTCAAGAACAATAAGTGCCAAATACTTTCGAGGCTTATGTCATCTTGTGGTAACAACTAGAACTTATAAGTGTACTGGTATAGGAATTCGTAAAAACGATTCTCTGCTTCCCAAAACAAATTTAATTGAAGCGAGACACAAATTTATGTTGAGGCTTTTAAATTTTGTGGGGTTAAATCAGTTGAACTCTTAATTGTGTAGTTTCATTATCAATTGAAGCGTTCCGTTCTTTTCACTATAAACACGCTTGACAGTCCAGTTTTGTTTAGATCATTATAGAATAGTTGATTTCATAGGGCGATATGTGTGGCGCAGCTATTAAGTTTTCCATGCCCGTTTGCCAACAAAACAACCATTTCAATGTCAACTCGATCACGTTTTCGGAGGCAATTTGTTGCTGGATTATTTTGAATTTGATACAGTCTAAAGAGCGTGGCAAATTGCCCAAGTGGTTAAGGGGAGTGGAAAGTCTCGGTCTTACATGAGGTTTTACACTGGTTTTGTCATCCATTGACAAACAAACACCTGAGACTTCGATTGGGTAACTTTGTGTGTACATCCACTCAATGTTGTTGGTTGTAAGTTGAGCTATTAGATCTTCTTTTTGCGTACTGCTGCTCATGCTCGTCGATAATCTGAGGTTAATCTGGTTGGGCTTGGTTATGCCTCCTCAGTGTCATTTCAAGTGCTCATCGAGTCGTCAATGCTGCTCCATTAATCTTGTGGTTAGTGTTAAAGACGAGTTAGCCAAGTAATTATTAGGTCGTGTGGATGTAAGGTCATCTTGAGCTCAAAGTTAACTTTCATGATCTGCGATCTGTAACCCATCCGTCCATTCACCAATTGATGACTCATTTAAAACAATGACAGCTAAAAATATCTTTAAATTCTTTATTGACTTTATGAATTTCTGTTTTGCCAACGAAGCCAATTCAAGCTGTCAATCAAACAATTACAAAAGTGTAACCGAATATTCTATCTCAGGGTTTGATTTTACAAAGAAATACTTACAGTGCTGATTTTTTGTATTTCTTTAAAATAAAAAGCGAAATCAATCAATCAAAAGGCATTAAAAATTGTATTTTGAGATATAAAAACAAAAAAAAAAAAAGTTGAAACCAATTCCAACGGCGGGGCCAATCACACGCTCTATTTACAGCAAATTAAAAATTCAGAAACTACAGAAACAAAAACCGACCGTGAAGAAACAAAAACGATAAAACTGGTACAAATATTGGTCAAAATATTTACCAGCCCCGCCCAGAGAAAGAATTGATTAATGATCGCCAGAACGGAGCTGAGAAAGTGCCTTAAACGCCACAATAAAAGTTAAAAGATCGAAAGGGGAAATTAAATCTTACACACATTACAAACACCAAAGAAGGAGAAAGATACAAATAGGTTTTGTATTGTGATGCACTTGGCAAAATGAGAATAAAAAAAAGACTTAATATAATTAAAATAAATTAGTAAATATACAAAATTTATTGGTAACAAATTTAATCGATTTAAAAATAAAAAATGTTTACAATATTTAAAAATTCTTTTTAAAACAAATTATATTATCAATATATACTTTCTTTGATTTTTAGAATGATTTCGACTTTAATGCTGTTTGTTAAATCGACAATTTTTTTTATATTCTTATTCTTGTGACTAATTTTAATGCTGAGTGTGTGGCTTCCAATCCAAGTGGCGCCCACACGTGATGGCCATCCTCATTTGGTATGCTGCCTTCGAAGTCTTTGTGGCAGATTACCATCGATGGCGTCGCGTAACGCGCCAGACAAATGCTGAAAACTTGTCAATTCCTGGAGGGGGATAGAGGATTCCCAGATGGGTAATTTATGCAGATTTATGCCCAATCCAGTTGAGAGAAATATTTTATAATTTGTTTAAGACTTCTGCAACAACTGCGGACGCCAAAGCCGCTTTTAGCCCATTAGCATAATGGACCAATGTTG